AAGTTTTTCACAGAACCGTCCTGAGCATCATTAGGAGCATTTTTGCGACCGAGTCTCGGTCTTGTGGCCCAGGCTGGGGTGCAACGGCGCGATCTCGGCTCCGTGCAGCCTCCGTCTCCCAGGTTCAAGCGATCCTCCTGCCTCGGCCTCCCGAGTAGCTGGGATGACAGGCGCCCAGCAACACACCCAGCTAATTTTTAGTTTTAGTAGCGATGGGGTTTTGCCGTGTGGACCAGGCTGGTCTCGAACTCCTGACCTCAGTTGATCTGCCCGCCTCGGCCTCGCAAAGTGCTGGGGTGACAGGCGTGAGCCACTGTGCCCGGCCAGACCCAGTCTCCTCCTTGCCAGGCATCAGAGCTTCACAAACTGTCAAATGGGTGCAGTGGTAACTTCTATCTCCCAGAGGGGAAGGGGAAGAGGAAGGGGAGGGGGAGAGGGAGGGGAGGGAGAGGAAAAGGAGGAGGAGGAGTAGGGAGCCTCGGGGGCCTGGAAAAGGGAGACCCCTCGAGTCAGTGACTGGAGTCTTTTGCTCCGTCCTGGCCCTGCCTGTCCTGGACGCGCCGTGTCCCGGATGATGAGCTGGTCGGTGCTGGGTTCAGAGCTGGACCATTTCTCTTTCCTCCGAGGTATCTGGTGATGCAGAGACTGTTTCCCCGCATCCCACACATGAAAGACCCCATCGGTGACACCTTCCAACACGACAAGCTGGTATGTTACGTTTTCTGCCGCGGGAGGGGTCTGGGCGGGCGTGGTGGCCGGTTTGGGAGGCCCAGGCGGGTGGACAGTTTGAGGCCAGGAACTGGAGACCAGCCTGGCCAACATGCAGAAACTCCGTCCCTACTGAAAATACGAAATCAGCCGGGCGTGGTGCTGTGTGCACCTGTCATCCCAGCTACTTGGGAGGCTGAGGGAGGAGGATCTCTTGAACCTGGGAGGCGGAGGCTGCAGTGAACTACGATCGAGCCACCGCACTCCAGCCTGGGCAGCCAGAGTGAGACGCCCTGGACTAGGCGGCTGGACACCGTCTGCTGGCGCGGGTGGGCGGCTGCCAAAATCTGCAGGATGAAGGGGGTTGGGGGGACACCGGGCTCCCCGCCCACCGTGATCACGGGCTGTCTCCGCGCCCCACACACCAGGGAACAGCAGATTTTTTTCTTTTTTTTTTTTTTTTGAGACGGAGGTTTGCTCTTCTTGCCCAGGCTGGAGGGCAGTGGTGTGATCTCGGCTCACCACAGCCTCCACCTTCCCGGTTCAGGGTTCGAGCGATTCTCCTGCCTCAGCCTCCCGAGTAGCTGGGATTACAGGCGCCCACCAACACAGCCAGCTGATTTTTTTGTATTTTTAGTAGAGACGGGGTTTCACCGTGTTGGCCAGGGTGGTCTCGAACTCCTGACCTTGTGATCCACTCGCCTTGGCCTCCGAAAAGTGCTGGGATTACAGGCGTGAGCCACCGTGCCCGACCCAAAGTGCTGGGATTACAGGCATGAGCCACCATGCCCGGTCCAAAGTGCTGGGATTACAGGCGTGAGCCACCATGCCCGGTCCAAAGTGCTGGGATTACAGGTGCGAGCCACCGCGCCCGGTCCAAAGTGCTGGGATTACAGGTGCGAGCCACCGCGCCCGGCCCAAAGTGCTGGGATTACAGGTGCGAGCCACCGCGCCCGGCCCAAAGTGCTGGGATTACAGGCGTGAGCCACCATGCCCGGTCCAAAGTGCTGGGATTACAGGTGCGAGCCACCGCGCCCGGTCCAAAGTGCTGGGATTACAGGTGCGAGCCACCGCGCCCGGCCCAAAGTGCTGGGATTACAGGTGCGAGCCACCGCGCCCGGCCCAAAGTGCTGGGATTACAGGCGTGAGCCACCGTGCCCGGCCCAAAGTGCTGGGATTACAGGCGTGAGCCACTGCACCTGGCCCTCAGAGCCGATTTGAGATGGGACAGGCCCCCGCGGATCAGGACGTGGGCTCTGTTATCTGGGGGTGGCCGACTCACCCTGCCTCCTCTTGTCTCTGCAGGTGGTCTGGGAGGCGGGCAAAGCCGGCCTGGAGGAGTGTCTGGTGTCTGAAGTGCAGGTGGTGGAGAAAACTTGAGACCGGGGTTCAGGGCCTGCCGGGGACTGCCTCAGTCTCCCTGGCCGGGCCAGGCACCTGCACAGCCTGCGCTGCTGGACGCGGCGCAGGAATGGACGTTCCTAACGGGTGGTGGGCGTGGGAGACGCCTGTGCAATGTATAGTCCAAAGCTGCCGGGAAAAGGAAAGAACAGAACTTTCGTGTGTTTACTTCATGATAAAAGTGCTTTTTTTTTTTTTTTTTTGCCCCACTCACTGGTCCCCGTCTCTGGATTCAGCCCCATTCCTCCAACACTACTAGACAGACGTTTCCACTTTTATTTTTTTTTGGAGTCTTGCTCTGTCGCCCAGGCTGGAGTGCAGTGATGCAATCTCAGCTCACAGCAACCTCCGCCTCCCGGGTTCAAGCAATTCCCCTGCCTCAGCCTCCCGAGTTGCTGGGATGACAGGCACCTGCCACCACGCCCGGCTAATTTTTGTTGTTTTTAGTACAGACGGGGCTTCACCATAGTGACCAGGTTGGTCTCTTGACCAGGCTGGTCTCGAACTCTTGACCTTGTGATCCGCCCACCTCGGCCTCCCAAAGTGCTGGGATTACAGGCCTGAGACACCACACCTGGCCTTTTTTCTATTTTGAGACAGTCGCGGTCTGCCGCCCAGGCTGGAGTGCAGTGACGTGAACTCGGCTCACTGCAACCTCTGGTCACTGCCTCCACTGCCTCCAATCCTCGGCTCACTGCCTCCAGGATTCAAACATCTCCTGCCTCAGCCTCCTGAGTAGCTGGGACTACAGGCACCTGCCACCACACCCGGCCAATGTTTGTATTTTTAGTAGAGACGGGGTTTCACCGTGTTGGCCAGGCTGGTCTCGAACTCCTGACCTCATCCGCCTGCCTTGGCCTCTCAGAGGGCTGGGATGACAGGCGTGAGCCACCGCGCCCGGCCTCCAGCATCTTGTAACTGGCTCCTCTAGGACCTCTGAGAAACATCAGCTTTGCTGCTTTCCGAGGGCGCCAGATGTCCTGCCTGGCTTGTCTGTCCTCTCCGGCCCCCGGTTGTACACGTGACCCTGGCTGCACAGCTGTTTTTTAGTGACAGGAGTCTCGCTCTGTCGCCCAGGCTGGAGTGAAATGAAGCCATCTCGGCTCACTGCAACGTCCGCCTTCCAGGTTCAAGCGATCCTCCTGCCTCAGCCTCCCGAGTAACTGGGACTACAGGCGCCGCCACCACACCCGGCTAATTTTTGTATCTTTAGTAGAGACGGGATTTCACCGTGTTGGCCAGGATGGTCTCGATCTCCTGACCTCGTGATCGGCCCGCCTCTGCCTCCCAAAGTGCTGGGATGACAGGCGGGAGCCACCGCGCCCGGCCTGGCTGCATGTCTCTAAGCCACCGTACAGGGCTTGTGTAGCCAGGTACACTCTGATGTCCGTAAACATGCTGTGTCCACGCACCTTTTTACCCACAGACCTGAGGAGCTGCCCACATCCGGCGAGGGCTCTGGGATCTGCCCTGGCAGGTTCAGTTGCGCTCACACCCTGAGGCCAGCCTGGGCTCTTCCATCCCCACCCCGGCCTGACCTCTGCGTCCCTGCCCTCATTCCCCAGAGCTGGATGCAGGCCTGACTTCTGATCCCCTCCCCCAGGCCCTGTCTCCCCGTTGGGGTCTTCCCAACCGGGCCTCTGCCGGGTGTGAGGGCCAAACCGAAAACAGGGGTACTTGGAGCTGCAGGAAAATTGCTGAAAGGAGCATTGCCTGTGTGTGGCGGGGGAGGAAAGCAGGGAGAAGGAATCCAGGCAGCAGTGACGCTGGCAAGGAGGGAGCCTGTCAGCCCCCCTGCAGCCCCTGGGGACGGTCCCGATGTCCGCAGCTTTTCCACCTAGAACACGGAACCGTCCCAGGGAGCCCGGGATGAGTCGAAGCTGCCCCACTGCAAATCCACACAAAGGAACTGATTTTTTTGAGACGGAGTCTTGCTCTGTGGCCCAGGCTGGAGTGCAGTGGCGTGATCTCAGCTCACTGCAACCTCCGCCTCCCAGGTTCAAGCGGTTCTCCTGCCTCAGCCTCCCGAGTGGCTGGGATGACAGGCACCTGCCACCACGCCCGGCTAATTTTTGTATTTTTAGTAGAGACGGGATTTCTCCATGTTGGCCAGGCTGGTCTCAAACTCCCGACCTCAGGTGATCTGCCCACCTCGGCCTCCCAAAGTGCTGGGATTTCAGGTGTGAGTCACCGTGCCCGGCTTGTTTTGTTTGTTTTTTTGCGACAGACTGTTGCTCTGTCACCCAGGCTGCAGTGCACTGGCACCATCTCAGCTCACAGCAACCTCTGCCTCCCGGGTTCAAGCAATTCTCCTGCCTCAGCCTCTCCGGTACCTGGGACTACAGGCACCTGCCACCATGCCCGGCTAACTTTGCTTTTAGTAGAGAACGGGTTTCACCATGTTGGCCAGGCTGGTCTGGAACTCTTGACCTCATGTGATCCGCCCGCCTCGGCCCCCCAAAGCGTTGGGATTACAGACCTGAGTCACCGCGTCCGGCCCCCCCAACCTCTTTTGAGACAAAGTCTCGCTCTGTCACCCCGGCTGGAGTGTAGTGGCACAATCTCAGCACACAGCAATCTCTGCCTCCTGGGTTCAAGCAACTCTCCAGCCTCAGCCTCTGAAGTAGCTGGGATTGCAGGCGTGCGCCACCACACCCGGCTGATCTTGTGTTTTTAGGAGAGACGGGGTTTCTCTATGTTGGTCAGGCTGGTCTCGAACTCCTGACCTCAGGCGATCCACCCCTCACCATCCCAAAGTGCTGGAATTACAGAGCTAAACCACGGAGCCCAACCAGAACTGTGATTTTGGTAGTAGCCACGAGGCAGGATTCTCTTAGTAACACCACGTATTATTTCCTGTGAAGTTACCTCCAACACTCAGCTTGCTAAGAGCCTCACCATTTCAAGATCGGGCAGGACTGGCCAGGCACAGTGGCTTGTGTGTGTAAAATCACGCCTGTCACGGCACTTTGGGAGGCCGAGGCAGGCACGTTACCTGAGGTCGGGAGTTTGAGATCAGCCCGGCTGACGTGGTGAAACCCCATCTGTACTAAAAACACAAAATTAGCTGGGCGTGGTGGCGTATGCCTGTAATCCCAGCTACGCGGGAGGCTGAAGCAGAATGGCTGGAACCTGGGAGGCGGAGGTTGCGTTGAGCCGAGATCACACCATTGCACTCCTGTTGGGGTGACAAGAGTGAGACGCCATCTCAAAGAAAAAAAAAAAGAAAAATGTCAGTAACGCGAAGTGCACTTGCTGGTCTTTGAACGGTAACTTTGGATACCCTCCCCCCCCCACCACCAAATCCCCCGAATCCCCCAGAGTCCAGTATACCATGTAGGATTTCACTGGAACTGCTAAGGAAACCATGCCCGGATTACTATGTTAAAATCTATGAAGTCACAGGAGTGAAGACACGTCCAGGAGTGGATGAAGCAGTTACCACGGCTCCAGGCAGGAACTCGGAGCCCAGGTGCCCGTGGGTCGTGGCTGTTTTGTGGAGAGTGTGCAGGACCCACGGGGACGGGTCGTGGGTGTTTTGTGGAGGGTGTGCAGGACCCACGGGTCCCCCTAGGTCGCGGCTGTTTTGTGGAGGGTGTGCAGCACCCATGGGTCCCTGTGGGTCGTGGCTAGTTTCTGGAGGGTGTGCAGGACCCACCAGTCCCCGTGGGTTGTGGCTGTTTTGTGGAGGGTGTGCAGGACCCACCAGTCCCCTTGGGTTGTGGCTGTTTTGTGGAGGGTGTGCAGGACCCATGGTCTCTGTGGGTCGTGGCTGTTTTGTGGAGGGTGTGCAGGACCCACAGGGTTGATGGCGGAAGCTCCTGTTTCTCCACTTGCCTCCGGGCGGAGACGCGTGACAAACACGGGACTCATCGGGACACAGATGAGGGTTTCTACCTGGCGAAGTGCAGAGATGTAGTCTGCCTCTCGGGCCAGGCACGGTGGCTCACACCTGTCATCCCACCGTTTTGGGAGGCCGAGGCGGGCGGTCCATCATTTGAGGCCAGGAACTTGAGACCAGCCTGGCAAACATGGTGAAACCCCATCTCCACTCAAAATACTAAAATCAGCCGGGTGTGATGGCGCACGCTTATAATCCCAGCTACTTGGGAAGCCGCGGCCGAATTGCTTGAACCTGGGAGGCAGAGGTTGCTGTGAGCCGAGATGGCGCCACCGCACTCCAGCCTGGGCGAGAGCAAGACTCCAACTCAAAAAACAATTTTTTTTTTTTTAACTACGGCTGGGATTTGTGGAGAGCCAGCTGTGGATCCCCAGGGCTGCGGTCCCTGTGGCCCTGCCGTGTGCTGGCACCACCAAGGCCCAACGTCCAGCCTGGCAGAGTCAACACAGCGTTTCTTGCCTCGCAATGAATGCACGCAAGGAGCTCGAAGGAAGCTGGCGTGCCCGGCGGTGGGCACCCCCTGTGGTGGGATCCTCACGGGTGAACCCACGGACACACAGCGGCCACTCTGGGAACCCCAGCTGACTCCACCGTTCACGCTGGAACGGGGGCTGGCGTGGCCCTCGGGAGCTACGGGAGGTGGAGAGGAACGCAGGCCCCCAAGATTCAGCCTGAAAATACCCCTCTCCAAAGTGACGGTGTGGGAAGTGGGGGTCTCCGGGAGTGATGAGGTGGTGAGGCCTCCTGGATGGGATCCCCGCTTTTGTAAAAGGGACTCCGGAGAGCTCCCTGGCCTCTTCCATCGTGTGAGGACTCACAGGGAGAAGGCGCCATCCGGAAGCCAGGAACCGGGTACTCACCGGAGACCGAACCTGCCACGCCTTGGTTTTCTGGGACTTCCAGCCTTCAGAGCTAAGAGACACGTGTCCTATGTACAACCGACCCCAGGTGTTACGGTCACACAAATGGTCTCAGAGAAGGCACAGTAAGTGCAGGTGCCCTGGGGACCTCCAGCATTCACCAGGGAGCCCGGCTACACTTCCGCCAGCCTTGGCTTCTACCCCCCTCCTCTCCCCAGCTGGGACCTTGTGTCCCGGGGGTGCTGGGGAGGCGGCCGCACCGCACGCCAGGAACGTGGGCCGGCCACAGGGGCAGAGCGTGGCCCCACCTGCGTCCCATGGGCCCAGCCCCCACCTCCAGACCCCAGGCTGCCCGTGGAGAGGTGCGGTCAGGCAGGAGGCCCTCTGTGTCCTCGGTTTATTATTTTGCAGCAGGATGCCCAACACAGAACATACTTG